CTCTCTCTCTCTCTCTCTCTCTCCTCCACATGAAAGTGGTACTATAAAGTATTATTGTCCCCAGGGTCAAGCCGAGGTCCCGGCATTCTGTAGGGAGCCTGGAGAGAATACTGTCATGGTGACAAAGGCATTCATCTCCATTTGTAAAGGAATGCTGTTTAATTGTTTTAGGTATATAAGATTATTTACATCAGTTTTCCTGCCAGTATTTTATTGCTTTAAAAAGAAATGGGGATTTCAGTTTTAAACTTAGAAATTTGCTTCAAGGAATTAGAGGTGGTTCCTGAGGGAGAGCTGTCGCTCTCGAATATGGAGCAGATTTACTGAAGGTAGAGAGACCCTTACCTGTCAGGAAGCAGAAGCGGCCAGCCTGGGGTGTTTGGAGTGGGTGCAGGCAGGCACACGGAACATGAGCTATGACATCTGTGTTGACACAAGGGTCCATGGCAGAAAGCAAATTGGAAATCGTTTTCCTACGAATAGGGAGTGACAGGGGTTGGGAGAGTAATTCCAAGATTGCTGCCCCAGACACATGGTTCCTTTGAAATTTGGGGTTTGAAGAGTTTATTTTATGAGTTAGGCCATCCTATAGGACAAACTATGGCTTTGCCTAAAAATATGGACTCAAAACAAAGATTGATTGATCAGCCATAGATTGAAAACTGATCTGGTCCAAAGTCACTGTTTTTCATGGGATAAATTTTCTATCTTTGCTTAACGTGGCAGTTGAAAAATACAGAGTTTTAATATTCTGTGCTGAATGCCTTTCTAATGTTTTACTTGGTGCACTCTAGAAAACAAGTATTCTTCTGTGAGACAGGCTGAATGAGTGCTGTTCAGCTCGTCTTCTGCGGCTTTGGAGGAACGCCAGCAAAAGAGTTCTGGAATATAATGCCATCATTGATTGCTTCCTAGAGATTAATGGGATTTATGTGCATTGGAGTAAATTCTAACTTTGTTTAAGACTTATACCAATGCATAGGTTACTAGGCTGTTCTTGAAGACATTGCCTTCGAGTAAATTCTAATTTTGTTTAAGGCTTATACCAATGCCAAGATTACTAGCCTGTTCTTGAAGCTGACATTTATAATATAGGGGTAGGGGGGAAAGGAAAAAAAAGAAAGGAAGGGTGAGTTTTTTCTCCCTGGAACTCTGTTTCTTTTCTTCTGTGTCTGGTTGTTAGCTCCTACTCATTCAAATCTCAGGGAAGGTTGAGTCATGAAGACACCTCTACAGGCTGATGAAACACCGTGGGCTTCAATAGCCCCTTCATCCACCTCTTAGTATCATATGTTTGCATGTTTATTTAATACCTGCCTTTGCTATTAGAATGTCAGCACCATCAGGGCAGGACTTTTTAATGCTCAGTAATTAACAATGCCTAGGGACACGGCACGGACTGGTCATAACTGCCAACACTATTGCGTGCTTACTATGTGTTTACTCTGTGCTTACTATGTATTTACTACATACCTAACACTCTATGTGATTACTCATGTAATAATCACAACAGCCTTACATGCCAGGTGTTATTCTTACCACTTCTAGAGGAGGAAAATGAGGCTTAGACTGGTAAGTGACCTGTCAAGGGTGACAGAGTTAATAAATGGCAGGCTGGCATTCATGCTGGCTGTCTAGCTCCACAGCCTTTACTCTTGAATATTATACTGGATTGCCAGTGAGTAAATATGTTTAGAATGCAGGAAGGAGTAATAAAAATATTCAGCCTCAGCTCTGATGATCTGCTAGCATGTGGGCTGGAGAGGAAAATGGCCCACACGTAGTGGCTATAAGAAAGCACTACAGTGAGGAATGGTTCAGGGAGCCCATCTACCCATACTGTTGACATTTATTTTTCAAGAATTTCATTCCTGGGATAAATGGGGTAAACATGGAAATTCCAAATGAGGCATAGGGGTATTTCTTGAATTTAATGTGAAGTATGCGTACCTGGGTATTTTCATTGTTTTAATGAAACAATGACAATGAATGAAAGGGAAACAATTACCAGAAATATTCACCTAAAATTACCAGGAATTCTTGATTATATAAGCAGCACTGTGATTTTTTTTCCTCTATGATATTTCTATTTTGTTTATTCATTCATTCTCGTGTAGTTAACATGCACTGTTATATTAGTTTCAAGTGTACAGTATAGTGACTCCATAATTCTATACATTTCTTAGTGTTCATCCTGATAAATGTCCTCTTAATTCCCTTCACCTATTTCACCCATCCGTGTACCCACCTCCTTGCTGGTAACCATCAATTTGTTCTCTGGTCAGGAGTCTGGTTTTTGGTTTTTTTTTCTTCCTTTGTTTATTTTGTAAAATCCACATATGAGTGAAATCATATGGTATTTGTCTTTTCTTGACTGACTTATTTTTGCTTAGCATTATACTCTCTAGATCCATCCAGGTTGTTATGAATTGAACATTTTATTCCTTTTTATGTCTGAGAAATATTCCATTGTTTATATCTATATACCTACAGACCTATATATCTATCCCACATCTTCTGTATCTATTCTTCTGTCAGTGGACACTTGGACTGCTTCCGTAATTTGGCTATTATAAATAATGCTGCAATAAACATAGAGCTGCACATATATTTTCAAATTAGTGTTTTTGTACTCTTTGGGTATACTCAGGAGTGTGATTACTGGATCATAGGGTTGTACTTTTTTAATTTTTTGAAGAACTTCCATACTCTTTTCCAGTGTGGCTCCATCAGCTTGCATTCCCACTAAGAGTTCAAGAAAGTTCTTTTTTCTCCATATTCTTGCCAACGCTTGTTGTTTCTTGTGTTTTTGATGTTAGCCATTCTGACTGGTGTGAGGCAATAGCTCATTGTAGTTTTGATTTGTATTTACTTGATGATGAGTGATGTTGAACATCTTTTCATGTGTCTGT